GCAATGATAATTCATCATCATGCACAGGAATGCCGAGTGAGACAGCAGCCGCAATTTGCAGCATCCTCATGGGCAACATCCTGGACTTGTTCCCCAGACTCAAGTTCTGCTTTGCTCACGGAGGCGGAGCCTTTCCCTTCACCGTCGGCCGCATAACGCACGGACACCAAGTTCGGCCCGACTTGTGCGCAACCAACTGCAAGGTGTCACCCCAAGATTACCTTGGACGATTCTACACCGACTCCCTGGTGCACGATGCCAAGGCCTTGGATTACCTAATCTCTGTCATTGGCGAGGTAGGGTACATAATAAAGCGAAAATTTGATTTCACTTTGAAATTCTTCTGGCCAGAAGAATGTTTTGAGAGAAACGCAAATTTTCTACTGAAATGAGCATCCTCCTCTCCTCATTAAATACTACAGTAACATAATATATGCTGGAGACACCAGTGTTTCCCAACCTCTTAGGTCCCGCGGACTGGCAAATTACTGTAAAAATGTTGGAGGACTGGCAAATTTCCCAAAAATTTTCTGTGGACTGACAAAGTATTCTAAGATTTTTACAGAAAGCTTTGTGGCAAGCATTAAACAAGTTTCTGCTTTTCTTATAGTAAGGTGGGCTTGAAGAAGGGTTTCTCAGACTGAAATGATTAAAAATTTATTTCAAGAGTAGTTAAAAGAAAAGCCAACTTAATGAACTTATGTTTTCTTTAGATAAATTCAACTACCATTTGTTTTCCCAGGGTTTCAGATGAAGATAACAGACTTCATTGCAGCTTTTCTCAATTTACTATGCTGCAGTAAAATTCCTGGAAGACCAGCAAAAAACTTCTGCAGACCACTAGTTGGGGAACATTGCTGTATAGACAAGTGTTTGAAAATTAAATCAGTCAAGCAACTTTCTGGGTCTCCATAAATTCTTAAATTACACATAAACAATAATCTCGACAGGACAAGGTGATACTTGGAAGCGATTACCCCTTCCCATTGGGCGAGAGTCACCCAGGCCAGCTGACTGAAGAAGCCAAGTTACTCGGCTCGGACTTGAAGGTTTGTTTGTGCAGTGATCAAATCAATCGGGACACACGTACAGTACAGTATAACAAATCAAGTGTGGCTATCATTATACTATATCATTATACAGTGTACTATATCCCTGCCAACAGGAAAGGATCTTGTGGCGGAACGCCGTCGAGTTCCTCGGACTGGATCGGGTTGTGCAGCAGCAACAACAACAAGCCAGGCTTGCCAGCGCCTGATATATTAGACTGAC